TGCTCCCCACACGGAGGACGGGAAGCCGAGGGGGATGCGACCCGGCGGGCCGGGCGCTCACAGGCCCCAGCGTGTGGGTGCATGGGGCGCTGCCAGCACCGTCCCCAAGAGTCACTGACCTCCTCTGCCCTCCGCCGCTATCACCTCCCACCCCACACACCTTGTCCCTGTGCTCAGGGGGTCAACCTCCACATTGGGAAGCGTTGGGAAGTGTGTGGACGAGCCCAGCGCGACCGTGCTGGCACGGATGGGAACTGAGCCAGTACTGGCCTGTGCTGACGGAACCGCTGAGATGCAGAACAGCAGGATTTCCTTGCGAATTCCAAGCTGAATGTCCCCACAGCCACAATAGCAAAGTGACCAGGATTAAAGAGAGTCAGGTCCCATACTGGCGTGTCACTGGCCGGCAGCACAGCCACTCTGCGGCTCTGTTCGTGGAAGTTGTGACAACCTGAGCAGGCAGCGCTGAGCTGCTCTCTAGGAAGCAGCAAACAAGGCCTGGCGACGTGCCCAACACCGTGCAGCTCTGCTTTGTTCACAGATGTGGCTTTTCCCCCCTTGACCTGCTTCCAAGAAATGTGGCTGTGCATGCCCAAAGGATGTAGCCAGCATTTGTTTGCACGATGGCTGCTCCCCAGGTCTGAGAATGATCCTGGAGAGTACCTGTAAGTTACATCCTGGCAGCAGAGAGCCAGGGCAATGAACAGATAAGGCAGTCGAGGCAAAAGAACTTGGGATGGACCATGGCTGAGTGAGAAGAGGCTGACTGACCAAGCTGTGCGAGGCCATACACAGAACAGCTCTGGAAAAAACACCACGTTGAAATCAAGAGTATATGGCCAGGGGTTTTCCTTCTTAAGGACTCTTCCGCAAAAGCATTCACAGCTCCCAGGAAAAAGAGACTCCCAAATGGGTGTGAACACAAGTCACTGTTAGAGTTAATAGCATCAGCAACTAGTAATAGACCTAGTTATAGTTCAAAGCAGGAACGAAGCCAGGGATTTAATTTGGAAAACCCCATATGGAAGGAGTAATGGAAAGAAAGTGCCAAGGGGACTGTTGAAGCACCTTGAATGAGGGAAATTATGAAAGGGATTTTTGTCAGTCTGATGTGGTTGAGTGAACTAACCAAACCAGTGCAGGAAAATGGACTCCTACTGTATCTCTGAAGTGAATTTGACCAAAACTGCAGTTGTAAATTTGAATTAGTCTCAATGCCATAAAAACGGAAAGTGCCAAGTGTTGTTACCAGAATAGCTCTGGGGGGATTCAGTAAATGTGACTGGCATGCCAAGCCAACTGCAAAAATATTATAAAACAGATACATTAAGAAACAAGCTATCTTGCACAAAGGTTAACACTGCTTTTTTTAGACACAACATGCAAATTAATTCAAGTTCTTTAAGGGAGTCACAGCAAACATGTAGATTGAAGTGACATGGTAATACACTATACTTCAGTTTCTAAAAAGCTTTTTGACCTAGTTCAGCTGCCCACATGCAGTCTACAGTGGACTGTGTGAACTACTCGGAAGAAAAAAATAGTGCAGAAGAATGAAGTGCCTGGAAATCAGTGGGAAACTAGTCCCAGCAGCTATTCAATGATTGCTGCTCTGGCAAGCGGTGGGGCAAAAAAGATTTTTAAGGGAGAGCTGGAAGAGGGCACCATGTTGCACTGGGAGACCGGTATGGAAGAGTCTTAAAGGGACATGAGTTGGGGTAAGAAACAGTACAGGGATATTTACTGAAAAGTTGGACAAACAGGCTGGGGAAATCAGTTGTCAAATGAAGTAAGAGTCAGTGATTTGGAAGATAGCCAAGGATGATGAAGTGGGTGAGGCACAGGCTGCCTAAGGCAGAGCAAGGGGGCCAATAAAAGGATGCACAGAAAATACATGAAGTAATTGATAAAAAACTCCAGAAAAGTTCTTTGTGAATACTGTCTTTGGGAGAAAAAAATTCGAGTGGAAAGAAAATATAAATGTGATGCAGATGGAAGCTGATGTTCAGGTCTAGAGAGGGGACTGACCAGGAGGCTGGCCAGGGGGGCAGGCCTGACCTAGAGACAGGTTTGAGTGTCCAGAAACTTTGTGGGGTTATTTCTAGTAACTGAAATGGAAGGGGACTGGTTTAACACAGGCCAGTTATATGCATCCTGCAGGTGCCACTGGACCATCACCCATTGCAAAAGATTGAGGAGTCTCATTATTTCTTCTCTCTTCTCTCTCACTTTGTCTTTACAGCTTTCCAGAAAATATCTTATTCTCTACAGAGATGACGTGATTGAAATCCTAGCTCTGTATCACAGAAATTGTAATGAACATTAGGGATTTAGTGTATGATCATCTTTGCAGTAATGTCCTGCAATTGAATGACAAAATATGACAAAAATCTCAAAAACATGTACTTTTGTACTGGTTTACCAGTTGGACACAACTAACTTTTTCTAAGTGCAATGAATCTGATGGATCTGGTAGTTTCTAAAATAAAATGCATCTTGACCTTCTGCTCTGGGAAGATTCCTAAACTATTTAAAAAGACATATTTTTGTATACTATTGTTTGGATTGTTCCCCAGAACTTACCTGTGTTTCCCCAGTGTTTCTTCGGAGGCTCATATGACTGGAATCCAGCTGATGTACTGGGGTCCCAGAGACATGGTAGCCATTCACTGTAAGGACATGTGGAGAGTTAGCAGGCTTCTGGTAGGTACCAAATACATAAATTTGCCTTCTAAAGACTGAGCACGTAATTGAATGGAGAGGTATTAGGGTACTTTGAGATCCCACTTTCCTTGCTTCCAATCTATGAAATGTATGAATCCTTCTCCCCATCCCAACAGATTTTTAGTTGAATCTCCTATTTGATGTGTTAGCAGCAACCCAGCAAGAACCCAGAAATGTACATTGCTGAAACGTAACCCATGTCCCATTCTCCCCTCTGCATCCTGAAGCAGACTGTTGTCAGGAGCTACGACAAGAATTAAACAGCTAGAAAAGCTAAGAAAAGAAAGTCATAAAACTCAAAATAGTTGCCATAGCCCTGTTTGGTAAAATGAAGTGTTTGAAGACATAAGTATCTCTCCATATATTAAAACAAAACACACACACAAAAAAAAAACAACAAAAAAACACACTAGAGGAGATTGACTCTTTATGTCAAGAAAATAAGCCTTGTAAGAAGTTTATGGTTCAGAAAGAGAACCAATCATGTACACAGCTATAAGGTACTTTCTTTTTGGAATATACTGAGTAAAGAATGATGCCCAAAGTGAGGTTAGTAAAAGATAATGGACTATGTTACAAATCTTTTGGTCACATCAAAATGCACAGCCTCCAAGAGTACTTCCCACCCAGCTCTGTCAGCAAATACATGTATCAGTGCTAAAAATTTCTGTAAAAAAAAAAAAAAAATCTAGGCCTCATTATTTACAGCAATAGCCTTTAAGCTTATCACCTGTTATCGCTGTTCTATGTCTTTCTGTAATATCTGAAAGTGTTCAATATCGCTAATTCTCTTACTTGAATCCCAACAATTTTAGCACGGGTCAGAGGTGAAGTGGGCAGCCCTGTAACTACCATGTGCTAAAGCACTTTCCTTTGCAAATGTGAGCTATGGAAAAAGGATACAGCCAGTCTACATTCCTCTCTGCTTGCTGTTTCTCCTACCCAATCTGAAAGACGCACCAGGAAACCAACCTCATCTTTTGCTCCCTTGGCTGGTTGGCCACACACTCCACAGGTGCCCTTCATCAGCTCTCATCAGACCAGACAACAGACCAGATGTATCAGCAGGGAAACAATAGGCAAGATATATCAGGAAGGAAAGTCCTGGTGTTGCTGCACTCACAGGACCATGTACCTTAAATACAAATCCCACAAAGCCAGAGCATTTTCCTTTGCACTGCTGAGTGGCAGAGAAGTAGGTTTACCCAACGCAGTGATCAGATGCAGCAAGCAAACAGTACCTGCAGGGCTCTTCTGTGTCCCAGGGCTCTTTGGAGTCCCAGGCACACTGCTTGGCCTCTCCCAGGTTGTCTCTGTCGAAGGAAAACAACAGTTAATTGTACTCAAGGCCTTATGCACACCTCAGGGCTACGCACCTGTAACACTCAGGTTATGATCCTGAATGTTCTCTTGACTCTAGGTTCTCACCTAGTAAGGCACCTCCTCGCCTTGCCCATATCCTCCCACATCTTCCTGTGTCTTCTTCCAAGCCACCTGGAACTCATCCCTTGCCCACTCCCCCTCCCTTCCCAGCCAGCACAGGATCACTCATCTCTCTCTGCTCTGCCTGCAAATTCCATAGATTTGGAGTTGCATCACTGGTTCTTCCAGTTCAGGTGTGCCCCAAGGCCTTGCCTGGCGAAAAGCCAAGCAGTACAGCTGTATGCAGAGATGACTCTGAACTGCTGCCATGATCCGTGCAGCAGCACTTCCAGGTGTAGCTAAATCAGCCTCAGCCTGGCCAGTCACTGCTCATGCAGAGAAATGTCCTGCCCTGCCAGCCCCAGTCACCGTTCTTATTGTGCGCACAAGGATAGTGGGTGTTGGTAGTGCTTTTACCCCTGCCCTCCGTCCAAAAGACTAATTCAATAAATCCTGCAAGCTGGGTAAGTTCAATAAGTTCTGTAAGTTTTGGATGTTGAATTTCTGTGAAGTAGGACATCGGAATGGGACAGCAGAGACTTTAGCATGGAAGAGGACTTTTCCTCCTAAAACTTCCTAAAAATTACAATGGCAGAATTTGGATGCACAAGGATTGCCTTAGGTTCCTCACTTCAGGAAAAAGTATGGAATTTGGGACCACAAACAAGGAAAGGTGCCATGGCACAACACTGTGATGGGTTCAAGACACACTACCCCTGTTCTCTGCTTCTCCCTTTCTCCAACCTCAGCACCCGGTTAGCTGCAAAGAAAAATATTTTGTTTGAGCTTTTTTTTTTTTTCCTTTTTGCAAGGGTAAAGCCTGGAAGACTAGAAGCTTTGATGAATCAAGAGGAGACCTAAAATCAAGAGGAGGCTTTTTGTGAATTGGGTTGTAAGTTAATAAATTCCATGAAACAAGATGAGAATATGTTTGAAATAAACATAAGATAAAACAACTGATAAGCATTGTCTTTTATGTGGCAGCTTGTCTTGGCTTAAAATATATGTGTGCATCATTAAATAAAGATAAAATTCTGATTTCTCTTTCGCATTCCCTGATGGCCCTCAGTCGTTCTACCTCCTCCTTTAGCTCCGCCACCAGGCTGAGCAGGTCATCCACCTGCTCACACCTAAGGCAGGCTGTGCTTTCGCCACTCCCCGGTAACGTGGAGAGGCCCAGGCATTCCCCGCAGCCAGCAGCCTGGACCGCTGCATGTTTCTGTGGCGGGTTCCTCTGGGGGGGCGCACGGAAGCTCTCCGCCGAGTGGAGACCATGATTCTATGATTCTATGATTCTATGAATGTTTTAAGCCTCCTTTGTTTTGAATGCTGAGAGAAAAAAAAAAGAGTCATTTTGTCCACAGAGTAATAAACTAATTATTTGATCAGCCAAAGCAGAGATGGAAACTAACCTTAAGCAAGACTATACTGCTGTAAGGCCATCTACTGGAACCAACTAAATTTAACAAGATAATATCATAAAATTACAAAGCAGCTTAGTCACGATTAGGAACAAATGTCTGAGGGGAAAATGATTGTTTACTACAACTGTACAAAAAAGTTTGATGAGAGATAGCATCGTATTGGATATAGCCACTTGTATTTGAGTATAAAATGCAGCTTTTTATACTCATGCTTGAAAAAAATCTCTATGTGTGTGTGTATATATACACACTATTTTTACCATGGTGATAAAACAATGATCGTTGCTATTAGGAACAGATTAAATATCATTTAAGATTCTACATCTCATCCAATTTTACAGATGGGATGTGAGCTGCAAGCTAAAAACTGTCGCAGACTGTAAATTAGTACTGACAAAGTCCTGTCCTCCTTTATCGGCCCTGTATTAATTATTCTATTTAGCCAATGAATGGAAGAAATAATTAGTGGCTTCCTTGTCATCCTCTGGACTGTGAAGGAGAACTATGAATAGAAAGAACTAGAGTTCTAAGAACCAAGCTTAGGAGACGTTTGCAAATTAGTTACTAAACAGCAAGGCAGGAGAAAGGCAGTTGTTCAATTCGAAACAATGCAATGAGAGGAAAAAGAGCCTCAAGAGCCAAGATCTACATGCCAACAAAACGAGAGGGGGTTTTCACAGATGTGGTTAAACATTTCCTCCCAAAGGAAAGAGGAAACCTGTAGTGTTCAGGGGGAGAAAGTTCACTGTGCATCTGTTTGGCAGAATAGGAAATGAAATGATGTGTCAGGCCTTCACAGAGCAACACTTTCTGGGCCTTCATGTTACCTAAGAAAGACGGTTTCTGAAGAGGTCTCAGCGTAGATTATTTTAGTGATCAAAGTGTAGCACTTGATGAGGGCATTTTCTGTCACCACTTGCATGAGTGCAGTAGCACTGTTCTGAGGGTCCAAAACAGCTGCTTTAGAGTTTGAAACTATAGCATTAACCAAATATCAGAGATTTAAGGTCTAGCATAATCCCTCCTGAGTACATTTATATTGCCTTCTGGAATGAAACTAGTATGTCTGCATCGTGTCGTGTTTAGCACTGTGCTATGAGCTACGTGCCCCACTATTTCATTGCCCAAACTATGAGAATGGAAAGGCAAGATAGGAGCACTCCAGGTTTGTTTCTTCCCCTTCCTCCCAATCTTAAGGATCTGTTGCAATCACAAGGTGTCACTTAGATTCTAGTGCTAGCTCATATTTTAAAAATAGGTTCAAATTTCTTTGTTTTTGTTTGGTTGGTTTTTGTTTGTTTTTATTTTGCAGTAATGTGTCATGCTGAGCTCCAAATCCCATTCCTGGATATGGAGAAGCGACACAGGCTGCACAGATCACTGTGACACGAATGAAGAACAGCAACCAAAATTCTCTCCTGTCCCTTCTGAATGCCACAGAGGAGATCCTATGAGCACCTCTGGACTGTATCTGATAACATGCAGAATTAGAAGCGTATTTGCAATAACATAGAGCATGCCCCACAGCTGCACCCATCTGCTTCAGATGCCCTGTGCTCTTGCCAGTGTCATGTAGAAATTGTTCATATCTCATCTACCCAACCAGAAACAAAGTGCTGTCAGCGTTCCCTCTCACCTTCACTCCCCTTTTTTTGCTAAGATATGCCCCACATTTGTAATGAATGGGCTTCATGGCACTTCATACCTTGAGATTGTGGGTGGGAGAAAACAGCCCTAAGGAAAGGCAGAAGGACTGTGTGGGTATGTAGATGCAAGGAGGGGGAAATTATAACAGCAATCACGTGCAACACGCTAGGATTAGATTAAAACATTCATGACCGTAGAAACAGAAGAATTGGGTGAATCAGAGTAAAATGAAAATTATTTTACTCCTATTCCATTGGGGAAATATAGCATGGGGAGATCTTGTTTATTTTGAACTAGGAGCTCTAACCTGAGTCAGTTCATCATGGAACTGACTCCAGCTCAGCAAGAGCCAATCTGGCTCCCCACTTTTGACCTCTTGAAGACCACAGAATATAAGGAGTCATCTGACTCACCACAGCAGCTGTTTCTTCCTTTTGCCCCAAAGAGTGAGCCTTGGTCACATCAGCCCAGTGAGTGCCTGCCTGTGCAGCAGCATCTGAAGTGTAAGATCCCAATTGCAGCACTGTCTTCTACACAGTTTCCTCTCACTGGGTTGTGAGGTAACTCTCCACCATCTCAAAGCTCTGACCTTTCCTTCCACACTAAGTAAAGAAGATAAGAAAAGGAGGCAGAAGTGACAGATGCCAATCTCTCTGCTCCTGCATGAAAGGTGTTTCAGTCTCATGAGTGCTGATAGCGGAACACCACATAGTGTATGAGCTAGATCAGCAGGAGCGGCAGGGTCAGAACTAAAATCCAGCTCCATCCCAGAGGCAGATCAAAAAAAGAAGAAACTGAGGCTCAAATAAAACTTTTATTCACAGGGCCTAAACGCTGACACAAACTATCCAAGAGCTCTTGGGATCCTCTGTCCATGTCTTGAGGGCAGCATGCCTGTCACAACAACACAAGGAAAACTGCTCCTGACAATAGTTCTTGTTTTACCTTTCAGGTTATCTTTCAAAATTACCACTGGGACCTGTATCATACACCTGTTTTTGCAAACATCAGGCAAGACAAAACTGGGCTTTCACTGCAGGCTTGGCGCTGACAGTAGCACCATTTCTAGCATGTTTTGACACATGCACTTTATTTTTCTAGGTTTTAGGCCACTTTATCAGGGCACATTACTATGGTGTTCTGCCTCCGCTAAGGCATTCTGTATCAGAGGGAAACTGTCACTAAAAGTTTTACCCATCAGGAAAAAGACATGAAATAAAAATGCCTTGACAACTTTTAGATTTCTATGTAGATAACTTACTATCTCATCTGCAATTTGTAGGTTTAGTTGGAGTAGGTGTTGACTGTAGTTGATGAAATATGAAAGAAAAACCTCAACCCACAGACTAAAGTCTTCCAAACTCCCTAACAAACCTACCTTTCTTTCCTTACCTTAATCAGAGAGATGCAAAATATTAGGCAAAGAAAGTATGATAGTAGTCATAATTAGGCAAAGAAAGTATGATAGTAGTCATAATTAGATTGCTTTCACCCACTAATTTCTTACTTTGGATTTAGCAACTAGCACTTCAGAAGGAATAAGGACTCTCTGTAAGTGATAAACATTCTCACATATAAAACATCCCCTTTCAGCTCACTAATTTACAAAGTTGCATGAATGATTATCTTTCAAGAAAGATCACCCCTTGATCCATGGCATCTGGCTTCTTTGGGCTCTGGTCTAATGTGCACATCCCAGCTTTCACTGACACTACAAAATATGTTGTGCAGGAACTCCAAGAGCTAGATCCTAGGCTAGTTAAATTACCAGGTCATCTCCTTCAAGTGAATGGTGAATGCTGTGCTTTCATCTTAGATTGAGGT